AATCCCTCTATTTTATTTTAATCAGAGAGAGAGAGAGAAGGGCATACAGGTATTTCTGACAGTGTCTCACTGTGTCACTATCTTCCCGCACTAGCTTCCCAAGTAGCTAGGATTATGGGCATACATAGTAGCACACGGCATTTTCAGATTGGCCTGGGAATCAAATCCAGGCCTCCGGTGTGGCTTCCACCCTCTCAAGTGGTGCCATCTGTGCACTGATGCAATGCAGCTGGACCAAAACTCCCTCCATTAACGAAGATGATTATACATACGTAATTTTGAAGTTTTGTTGTTATATGGTGTGTTCACTTGCCAGAAAAGGGGAAAGGGAAGTGAGAACTCAACCTCTGGGGGGATGGCCACTCTGCAATCCCTTTCTCCTCCATTTTCCTCTCTGGATCTTGGGTGCACACACACATGCCCAGACCAACATGATTTTCAAGCTGCTGGATCCGGGACTCAAACTGTGCAGTTAGCAACGTGGGATCCAGCGCCTTAACTTCTACTCCACTTGATACCTCAAAAATTATTTTAGCTTTTTATTTCTTATATAATTCATTTACTTAACTATTACTATTATTATTCCAACTCTCCCACAATTAAAGCGTGGGAAGACAAAAATGACTACAGAATTAAGTCAACAAAAATTTTTACTGAGTCCCAAGGCAGATGATAATCAGCCAATTCAAAGTAATACAGACTGAAATTACTCTTATTTATCTTTCTAAATTCCCTTTCTAGTTTACTAATTTTAATAACACAGAGAACAAGCCATTTCTTAAAATGCCTTAAATCAGTTCTAAAAATAAATAACAAAATGAAATAATAACTGTAAGATTTGTTTAAAGAGTATAGAGTTCTCGAATAGTGATTCAGAAAAAAACTCCCAGGAACCAGCAGTTAGCGTAATAGCTATGTCTCTGGACTCCCCAGTAGTCGACTGCGGTTCATGTCCCGGACCTGGTGGCTTAAACTCACGCTGGGCACATGTGCATGCGTGCTCAAGATCCCGAGAGGAGAATGGAGGAGAAGGGATTGTGGCTTTGCCATCCCGCCTGGGGGGCGGGGGGGGATTTCTTGCTTTCTGTCTCTCTGTCTCTCTCTGTCTGTCTGGCGAGCGCACATGCCCTATAGTGAAAAAACCTCTCCAAAAAAAAAAAAGAAAGAAACTCCCAAACATACAGCTGACAGATTTTTGAAAAGGGTACCAGTCAATCCAGAGGGAAAAGGAAAACCTCTTTAGCAAATGGTGCTGAAAAAACTGAGTATCGACCTGCAGAAAGATGAATCTGAACCCCTACCTCTCACCATTAACAAAAATCAACTCAAAGTGGATTAAAGATCTAAACCTAAGACTTCAAACCATAAAACTACTGGTGGAAAACACAGGGGAAACTCTGGGAGACACTAGGGATAGACAAAGACTTCTTGAATAAGACTCCCAAAGCACAGTCAATAATCCCAAAAAACAGACAAGTGGGATTACATCAGATTAAAGTTTCTGCATAGCAAAAGACACTGTAATTAGTGTGAATTGATAGCCCTCAGAATGGGAAAATATTTTTTAAACTATGCATTAGACAAGAGACTGATACCCAGAATACACAGGAAACTCAAGCAGCTTTCCCCAAAAAAAAGATAGTCAACCCTATTAAAAGATGGGAGAAGGAGTTGAAAAACCACTCTCTAAGGAAGACATACAAATAGCCAAAAGGCATATGAAAAAATGCTCAACACCGCTCATTATAAGGGAGATGGAAATACCACCATGAGATACCACCTAATTCTAGTCAGGATGACTAAGATTAAAAAAACAAAAAATGGTAAGTGCTGACAGAAAATGTGGTGAAAAGAGAACTTTCCCACACTGCTGGTGGGAATGTAAATTGGTCCAGCCACTATGTAGAACAATATGGAGGTTCCTCAAAAATCTACAAATAGAACTTCCATATGATCCAGCAATCCCACTCCTTGGTATCTACCCAAAGGACAGAAGAATCCTTAGTTGGAAAAGTGCTTGCACATCAATGTTTTCTGTGGCATTATTCACAATTGCTAAGATATAGACCCAACCCAAATGCCCACAAACAGATGAATGGATTGAAAAAGTGTGGCACATACACTCTATGGAATACTACTCACCCATTAAAAAAAAAAAAAAAAAAACAAGAGACAACATCCCGGCTTTTGACAGAAAATGGCTGAATAGGGAAGATTTACTGCTGAGTGCAGCAAGCCAGGCTATGAAGGAGAGACATGACTCTGAATGACTAGAGGATATAGAAACATACAAAATGGTTATAAATACCATTTATACCAGAGGAGAGGTGAAGGAAAAGAGCCTGAGAAAGGACATTAAGGAGAAAAATAGAGAGGCAAGGCATTTATGGGACAAAGAAATGGGTTCTTATCTGATGAAGATAACGTGTACAGTATTCCCAACTGGACTGCTGAGAAATGTATACATGTTGGAATATGCACTTTGCAAGCTAAGTGACATATGTAACTGAATGTATAAAAGAAATTGAAATAAAAAATACATTAAAAAAAGAAGAATAGTGATTCAAATTAAAGAAAGTCCATCCCATAAAGTAATATTGAGAAGCTCAAAAGACCTTGCCAATGCAATGTAAAACTTACTTGTAAACGAAGGCAACAATAACCGTATCACCAGGTCAGGTCAGCACTACCCTTTATACTGTAGTGGGTACTGATTTCTGCGGTACTAACCCCTTTATACTGTAGTGGGTACTGATTTCTGCGGTGCTAACCCCTTTATACTGTAGTGGGTACTGATTTCTGCAGTACTAAGCACTTAGTATTTCTAAGTTCTTATTAATGATAACAATATAATGCCAACGTTTAAAACCTACTATAATATCCTTTCAGTTCTGAAAAAATTCCCTTGTGGAACCCCACTCCTTCTAAATATTACCAATAATTACAAGGCCAAAAGTTATAAGGAATAGTAGTAGGCTCCCATAATTATTAAATGACTCTAAAGCCTTATTGTTTCTTAGTATTATGAAAATTAAAACATGCTCATAGTAATAAATTTAATCCACCAGAATGAGTATACAGAAAAAAATCTGAGTTGTCTTCCTACTCTAAACTTCTAGTCCCACTCCCTGGGGACACCTGTCAACAGTTCCTTTTACAGGGTGAAGAACTTTTGTGCATATGCACACAATTGCTTTCTATTTTAATTTTTCAATGTTAACTTTATTTTTTCATAAGCTGTAATTTTAGATTTGCATGTGATCGCTGTACATCTTTGTGGGTTTTTCAAGTCATGCATTAGTGTATGCCTTTTTTTTCCCCCTTTTTTTTTGAGAGGTTTTCGCTACAGGGCATGTGTGCTCACCAGAAAGACAAACAGAGAGAGAGACAAAAAACGAGAAATCATTCCCCCCAGGAGGGATGGCCACACTGCAATCCCTTCCCCTCTATTCTCTCGGGATCTTGGGCATGCACACACATGTGTCTGATTTGAGTCCAAGCCACCGGGTCTAGGACTTGAACTGTAGTCGACTACATGAAGTCCAGCGACATAGCCATTACGCCAACTGCTGGTCCCAGTGTTTGCCTTTTAATAATACAAATGGAAACCATGCATGTAGCTGGATATTGTTTTTCTCAGTTAGTAATAATCCTGAAGGTTTTGAACCATAGCTCTAGCTCTGGAATTATTCATTCTTTCTAAGAGCTGAACTGTAGAAAGGTACTTATTAAACCAGGACTCTGGCAAGGCACACTTGGGTTATTTCTAGTTTGGTTTTCATTTCAAACAATGTGGTAACAAAGATCCTTGTCTGCAAATGTACGTGGGCAAGTGCTAACATATCTGAAAGGGGAATTCCTAGAAGTACTCCTGCTGTTGGAATTAAACAAATTCTAAACAAAAAGCAGCATATCCACAAAGGAGACCAGAAAAAACTACGCTTAGTGCTTAGTGATTAAAAGGTGCAAATATCATCACAAGTTAGAAGTTAAGGTTTTAAAAATAAACAAACTGATGAATTAGGAGAGGTAAACACAAGAAAGAAACTTTATTCCCTGAGACAGAAAGATAAAAAGCCTGGAAAGTAAATCACCTACGAGATTGAAAAGAAAAAGGAATTTAAAATAGCAGAAACAGGGCCCAGCAGATGGCATAATGGTGACGTCACTGGACTCCCACATAGTCGACTGTGGCTCAAGTCCCAGACCCAGCAGCTTGAAACTCACACTAAACACATGTGCCATGTGTGTCCAAAATGCTAGGAGGAGAATGGAAGAGAAAGGATTGCAGTGTGGCCATCCCCTCTGGGAGGCGATTTCTCACTTTCTGTCTCTCTGGTAAGCCCACGAGCAAAAATCTCTTAAAAATCTCTTAAAAAAAATAAAAAAGGAAGAAAGAAAAAAGAGCAGAAATAAAGCAGGACAAAGACAAATAATACTTTTTGGTTTCTTTCTTAAAACTAAGATACAAACTAAAATGAACCAATCAATTTGAGGAGTCCTCAAAAAAGTCACAGAAAATGCATATTAGGAGAAAACTATGCATGCATTTCAAAATGTTTTGCACCAAAACATACTTTAATCCTATTTTCCTATTTCAACTTTTTGAAGTGCCTTTGTACACACAGGCAAATGTGAATCTGAGATGATTCCGAGTATCCACAGGTTGATGTATTGCTACCACGGCTCAAAATAAAGTCTTGCAAGGAGATAGCACCCCCCCCCCCAAAAAAAAAAAGGAAAGAAAAGAAAAAGAAAAGAAAAGCAGTGGCCTTCTAGAAACAATAAATATAGATTGTCAATCTTTTTAACTTCTGATCAACTTCACGGGGAAATAGTACCAATTGCTTCACATGTACAAAGCAAACCTCTCCTACAAGAGTCATGATTAAAACACAGAGATTCAGGTCTACATTTTCCAATGACAATCCTACAATTTCCTAGGCCAAAGCCAGGGCTGTTCTATTATCTCGCCTAACATGAAACAGTCAACAACTTACCTCTCCCAAAGTGCTAGGATTTGAATGCCACAATACAAATTGATTCATGTTTTTGTCCGTTAACGGTCCGTGGGTTTCTTTAAACGAAGTCCATGTTAGAGTCCAAAGATATCAGTGTTCTGCAAAACTGAAAACGTCGAGAAGGTCAATGCACATACCACTAGGATACCAATTCATTATGGATAACAGACATTTAGATGTGCAAAATTTAGTGGACACAGCCCTGAACAGCAAATCGAAGTAGCAAAATTGAGACCTTATTCTGAAGGTAATAATAGTAACATCATATTTTATATGTATTCTAAATGTGGCACCATAGCATAGGCATACTAAGATGGGGATGATCTTGATACTAACGCTTTCCAGAAATTAGAAAAACAAGATGTAAGGGTAGGGAAACTTTTTAAAATTCAGATACTGCAATCATGTATTCACATATCTACATTTAGAGTTTTCAATTCACCCTAAGAATTTAAGATATTTAAATCTAAACATGGTTACTATTTTCTTATTTGCAAAACATACACACACCAATAAAAACAACCAATATGACATAAATCAAGCTTTCCTTCCTCACTATTCTGGACCCTCATAAAAATCACTATCTCATTAACTAGCCCATGCACATCGCCTCACTCCTGCATCTAGTGATTCATGCCCAGTTCTCATTACACAGCCTGATGTGTCATCTGCTCTCGGTTCCATTTGACAGCTGAAAACAGTCTGGTTACAGTACTTGGTTTTTATATATATGCTCACATTCATCACATTTAAAACACTTAAAGAAAAACTTTTTGCAAAGAAAACAATCGAATCTTCAGGGATATGTTCTTCTGGGGGCCTCCTTACCATTTGGGAGTAGTTAATCTTCCGTGTACACATCAGGTGAAACGATTTTTACAAATTACTAGTTTCATTTTTGTTATGAAATAATTCTCTTCTACATGTCAAATGTAAGTAGTATCCCAACACAAGAAAGGAAACATTCAGGAAAAGGAAAGTAAGTTTGTATTACTGAGAAGAAAGCACTTAAAGCGTCAATTAGAAGCTCGGTGCTACAATGGCAGCTTATCATAGAACGACCAGCCCCTCCCTGGTATTACATACCGCTGGAAGTTCTTCCCAGAAAAGTAAAAGACTGAAAGAAGTCCAATTCATCGCCTTATCCTCTTCACTCACACAAGAGTATTAAGACACACTTGTGAATGTCAACAGTAAACAAACGGAACAGAACGAAAAACCTCAACCATGTCCCGGATCTCTTCTGCAACGGTATCCTTCTAAACCACTCAGAGTAAACTAGAGTCCCTTCTACATTCAGAGGGAGGGATACTGAGATTTGAGAGAAGGTCCTGGCTAAATCAGGGTTTTTGTCTTTTTTTCTTTTTCTTTTTTTCCTTTCCTTTCATTCATTCATTCAACCAGTCAGCCAGTCATTCGCCGGCATCTAAAGAACGCTTAATAGTGGCGAGTTACTGTCCTCCGGATTAGGAGTCGGAGAGATGAGGTCCCGTCTCTGTCTAGCGGAACGGGTCGGCGTAGATGGGAAATGAACCCCAGGTCAGCTCAGCGCAGTGTCCCCACCTCGAGGGCCAATGCTCCGAGCCTGTGACCCTCAGCCAGGGCCGATTCCTACAAGACTCAGCCTATCTTTATTTCCTCGACGACCTCGGCTCCGACCCCTTGCCCAAGAGATGCCCGTATCCCTAACCAGGGTCTCAAGTCAAGGAGCTTTACCCCCAACCACCACCTTCCGCGAGGGCCAGCTCCCTCCGCCCGACCTAGCGCCGCAGCGCCCGGAGCACCTGCCCCGGTTCCCACCCCCGGCCCAGGGCAGGTGCAGCCCGCTGCAGGTGCGGCCCGCAGCTTACCTGCGCGGAATCCAAGGCTCCCAGCGGACCGCAGGCGCGACGCCCCGCCCACCGCGACGCCCTCCGCCACCAGGTACTGCCTCCTGACGTCATTTCCGGCGCGTCACGTATGGCCGGAAGCCCACCCGACCGCGTGCAGCGAAGTGCCCCCGCCACTCGTTGACGTCACTTCCCACCTATTTTCTGGCTTCTCGGCGGTCAGAACGCTCCCTCAGGCTTGCTTGTCTGCTTCCATCCCGCCTTCTTGCGGACCTTGTGTGATCTAGCCCGCGGAAGTTACTTTGTGTTTCCAGACTTCTTTGCCATCTTCCGCAGCTTCCCTTCTGCGGCCGGTCCTTGTGTACCGAGAACTCAGCGCTGTGCTGCAAACTCGCCCGCCTCCTTGAGAGGCGGTTCTTGTGGTCCTGATCTCTGTGGCCTGTGAACTGCTTGGCAGTCTGGTTCCAATACAGAGTCTCTCACGTCTGAAGGAGCTACCTACGCACGTTAGTTAACCTCACTATGCCATCTCAGGTGTGAAACAAGTAATGTGAGTACCTGGAACACAGGTACTGTAGTGTGTGTGCCGTTCCAGATAACAGTGGAACACACTGGCATGTGGAAAGCACCCAGTGAGAGTTAACTGTTACTTTTCGCCCTATTGCGTTCTCTTGTTCCCTGTTGAAACATTTAAACGGTGAGGAAGGCTGGAATCGATCTTCCTTGTAATTCTCAGTTTTTAATTAAGTAATCAATTGATGCTTGGTACCTTCCCTTTGAGTGCTGTGAGCTCCTACTTGAAAACACTGCTTAGTTATTGTGCTAGATACTGGGGAAATATAAAACTAGCCCCCCTCTCAAGACCACAGAGATACTCAGTGCAATGATCATGGAAGAGACCAGCTGGGCAGAGGATTTGTTCAAGCACGTCAGGGAATGGGTGGGCAGCAGTGGTGTGGTGTTAAGATGCTGGATTCTTACATGGTCCACGACCATTAGAGTCTTGACCTTGTGGCTTGAAATTCACACCAGGTGCACATGCGTGGGTGCCCCAGATCTCAGGAGTAGAAGGGATTCTAGCATGGCCATCCCCCTTGGGGGTGATTTCTCACTTTCCATCTCATTGTCTCTCTGTCTCTCTCCCAGCACATGTGCCCTATAGCAAAAACCTGACGGAAGGAAGTCCCAGTGATAGGACTGAAAGGAACTGTAGAGGTAATCATTTAGTCAACCCCTTGCTGTTACAGGTAAGAAAAACTGGTTCCAGAGAAGCAACTAAGTCACACGATTAGTAGAAGTGCTAGGGCCAGAAATGGAATCTCAAAATATTCCTATCACATTTTCCAAAGTCTGCTGCTTAAGAAGGTAAGAGCAGATTCACTTTCAAAACTTGCACTCTAGAGAGGACTAGGAAGACCCCAGTTCAGGAGCAGCAGGGACAGAGTGAGCCTGCAGATGCCACACAATTCTGATGGTATTTGACTATTCTAGTGTGGCCACTGCTGTGTTCCTTTCAAACTCAGTAACCACCCCCTCCACACACACACATACTCCTTACCCTCCCTTTACCCCCACCCCTAGAAAACATGTTACATTTACTGAGAAGCAAGGGGTAAAGTATCAGCTCTTGTGAGACCTTGAGTTTCAGTTAGCTAGAGAGGAGTAAGGAACAGACCCAAGCAGAAACAAAAAGGAAACAGACTCTGAATGCACTGCCAACAGTGTGGCACAGTCTTTCGGCATCTCGATTGAAGCCATTTCTCTGAAGTATTTAACCTTTATTTTAGGAGTATGACAAAATTGCATAGGTATTATTACTTCAGAAATGTTGGTAATGGGTTTGCATTTCAAATAACCCAGTAATTTCATAGAATAATGTAGAATAGTAGTTAACTCTTCCACTAAATGGATCAATGGTCTTTATAATATATTTATGGCCATAGGAATTAAATAATCTACAAAAATCACAAAGTTAGCCAGTATTGATCAGTGCCAGAATCTAAGCCACCTAATTTATTTATTAATTTATGCAGTCATTCAGAGAGAGACCAGGCCAAGCATTAGTTCCTGCCTTCAAGTAACTTACTAGGTGATGAGGGAAACAGAAGTTTTAATGGAAAATTATTTCAATGTTAATATTGTTATAGGCCTATCTAGTTCCTTCGTTCAGCCAGGGACAATTTCCCCCTTTGCTTCCAATGTGCAATAACTTGTTAAAAATAAATACAAAATATGATGGTTTTTTCTTTTTTCTTTTCCTTCCTTTCTTTCTTTTTTTTTTGGGGGGGGGGAGGTTTTTGCTATAGAGCATGTGTGCTCGCCAGAAAGAGAGAGACAGAAAGTGAGAAACCACCACCACCACCCCCCAGGGGGGATGGCCATGCCACAATCCCTTCTCCTCCATTCTCCTCTCGGGGTCTTGGACATGCGCCCAGCGAGAGTTCAAGCCACCGGGTCCGGGACTTGAACCATAGTCAACTACATGGGAGTCCAGCAACATAGCCATTATGTCAACTGCTGGTCCCATAATATTTTTTAAAAAGAGTTTTTGTTTTGTTTTGTTTTGTTTTTGCTTTAGGGCGTGTGCACTTGCCAGGGAGAGAGAGAGAGAGAGGCAGAGAACAGTGAGAGGCAAAGTGAGAAATTGCCCACCAGGGGTAATGGCCCTGCCACAATCCCTTCTCTTCATTCTCCTCTCAGATTCTTGGGCAAGCACGTACATGCACCCTGTATGAGTTTCAAGCCACGGAGTCCAGAACTTGGACTATAGTCAACCATGTGCGAGTCCAGTGCCCCAATCACTATGCCACCTGTTGGCCCCTAGATTTGTGCGTGTTCAAAGGCGTGCTTCTCTCTACCTCTCTTTCAGTTAAGACCTACTATTTCACATAAAGGCAGGCCCCCTGTCTGCTTTTGCTCATATTGCATTAGCAGTGCCTAGCACATACCACTGCTCAATAAAGATATGATTAGTCAAATATTTATTTTGTAAAACATGGTTATCAAACAACCCATACCATAGCCACAAGGATTCCTTTGACTAACTTCATTAAATCTCTTTAGGAATCTCAACATCACATTTCTCTGATCTTTAGTCATCTTCTTAAACATAAAAATGAAATTAATCTGGCTTTTTTTTTTTTTTAGGTTTTTGCCATAGGGCATTGTGTGTGTGCTTGCTGGAGAGAGACAGTGAGAGGGAGGGAAAGTGAGAAATCACCCCCCCAGGGGGGATGGCCACACCGCAATCCCTTCTCCTCCGTTCTCCTCCCAGGATCTTGGACATGCACGCACACGTGCCTGGCGTGAGTTTAAGCCACCGGGTCCAGGACTTGAACTGCAGTCAACTACATGGGAGTCCAGCGACATAGCCATTACACCAACTGCTGGTCCCAATTCATGTTTTTAAACTTTCGTAGCAGAGCTGGCAGGTAGTGTGGTGGTTAGAGTGCTGGACTCCCACATGGCTGGCCACATTTTGAGTCCTAGACCTAGAGGCTTTGTTTTTCCCCTTTTCTCTTTTCCTTGGCAAATTTCTAGTCAAATTATAATTAATTAATTAATTAATTGTATTTTAAAAAATATTCATAGATATTAATAAAAAATTTGCCAATCTCTTGCATCTATTATCTTTTTTCATACTCAAAAATCAAATTTTGTTCCCCTCCTTAGTCCCCTAGCCCCTTTCTTTTTTTTTTTAAAGAATTATTTTATTTAACTTTATGTATTTATTTTAATTTGTGTAGAGAGGGACGGAGAAAGAGAAAGAGAGAGAGAACGTGCATGCATGAGAGAAAGTAAGCCACCGGGTCCAGAACTGGAACCATGGTCAGCCATGTGGGAGTCCAGTGCCCTTCACCACCACGCCACCTGCCGGCCCCAACCCCTTTGTTTTTCTTGAAAGTCCTCAAGCTATAATCACACCAGCTCAATCACCAGGCTAACTAACCATCACGGCACTTTGATAGAGCAAAGCAGGAAAGAGAGAACAGTTGCTAGAGTGTTTGCATCATTATCAGCCTGTTTCACTTTGACCTCAATGACGCAGGGTGTGTTAGTTCATAGTCTGTTTGCTATTCAGAGGAGATAGAAACTTATCATAGAGAAAAGATTATTCAATTTAATTAATCCCAAAAGAACATATTAGAATACTAATAATGGTTACTGATATGACTATTTTTTAAAGATTTATTTACTTTTATTTATTATTATTATTTTAAATTTGCTATAGGGTATGTACACTCAACAAGAGAGAGAAATAAAGAAAGCCACCAGGTCCAGGACTTGAACCATGGTCAGCCAAGTGGGAGTCCAGCACCTCAACCACTATGCCACCTGCTGGCCCTTAATAGGATTATTTTTATTGAATGCTTTACACAAGGCAGGCAGACTCTAAACATACATTCACTCAAAAAAGGGAGAAGGCCATGCTTGGTGACAAAGAAAGATATGATATAACTCATACCTAAGACAACTAACCCAATAATAAAATTGACAACACGTATTGGCAAGGATGTAGAGAAATTAAAAGCCTTATACATTGCTAGTAGGAATGTCAAATGGAGCAAACACTTTGGAAAACAGTTTAGCAGCTCCTCAAAAATTTAAACATTACCAAATGCCCCCCAGTGATTTTATTCTTAGTTATTGACCCAAATTTAAAACGTAGTTCATGCAAAAACTTGTACATAAAATGTTTACAGCGGCTTTATTAATGGTAACCAAAAAGTGGAAACAACTACTCCAGTTTCTAGGAAGTGAATGAAAATGCAGTTTATTCATAAAATGAAATAACTTTCAGCCACAAAACGAAATGAAGTACAGATGCATGCTATGACCTGGATGAAACTTGGAAACACTGGACACAAAAAGGTACATATGTATTATTCCATTTACATGAAATATCCAAAATAGGTAAATCCAAAGAAACAGATTAGTGTCTCAGAGTAGATTAGAGGTTCCCAGAGGGAGGGAGAAAGAGTGATGAGTGACTAGTTTGTGATATGGAATTTCTTTTTGGAGCGATTAAATATTCTGGAATGAGAGAGTGGCGATGGTTGCACAACCTTGTAAATATACCAAAAATCATTCAATTTTGCACTTT